TCACCAATGATTCTCAGGCTGTGCAAACTGAAATGTATCCAATAACACAACACAAGCAGAGGCCGAGGTTACATCCAGCTGACCTATATCAAGCATAGTGTTCGAGAAAGAGCAGATCCCCATGCTATTATCCAATTTTTTTTAATTTTTGCCCTAGACATTATTTATTTCCAATTTAAAAAAAAAAAAGTTTCCTGAAACCTGGAAAACCCAGCAGAAAAAAGCTTTTGTGCAGTTTTCCCAAGTGCTGCAGACATATTATTCTGAAGAGAAATATGTGTATCTTTTGGGGACAAAACTAAGTTTTCTGGGTTCCTGCACAGAAAACATGTTTTTTGATCAAAATATGTCTACTTCTCCACATAACAATTCCTCTGTAATCCTTTGGGATGTTCACATCAAGGGAGAATACTTCAGAAAAACATGCCCTCATTAAGCGGCTTCCAAACAATAAAGTGGTTGAACATAACAAGCACACATGAATATTTTTGTAAAGTACTATCAAAACTGAAGTGTAAGATACAAACCAGCAATGAACTGAGTACTATAAAAAAAGTACTATCAAAACTCAGGCATATGGTGCAAAGCACCAAGAAAGACATGGTCCTTATACTCACCTATCTATCTCTTCTAACTGACAAACACAAGGACAGAAAAGCTGACTGAAGCATAGAGGCAGGATGAAATGGGTGAAGGTGTTTCTTCAAATAACCTGCTACCAGGCAAGGTAGGTTAGTGATCTATTTTGTAACTGCACTTTAAGATATCAGTAAGCTGGAACCTATCTAATGGAGGCGACAGAGATAGAAAGGGCCTGGAGACCAAGTCTTATGAGGACCTGGAGAAAGGAAGATTAAGAAGCCAAAGAACAGCTACTTTCGATATTTGAAGGCTGCCTCACAGAGGGTGGAGCAAATTTGTTTTCTGTATAGCACCCAAACCAATGGACTTAAATCAGAATACAGCATAGAAGACACAACATATTCAGTGTGTATCTATTATCATGGTTGCTGTGAAAGTTTCTCCAGGAGCTGGATTACATTGTCAGAAATATTGCTTGGTATAATCTTCCTCAATACATGCAAGCTCAGACTGGGGGTACAGGATTATTAATTGTAAAGTTTCCACATGTTTAAAAAAGGAAAATACTTTCATGCACATGGAAAACTAGCAGCATTCATCATTATAACAAATGACACAGTTGTCTATATCATGGATATTCCTTTTGCATCAAAGCACCAAGCAGTGATCAGCATACACAGAAATAACTGCATTCACCAACTGTGAATTAATTCTTAGAAAGGGACCATAAGAAAACAATGCCTTTTTTGGAATTCATTTCTGATACTAAGCCATGAAATCATAGAGATGGGATTGCAACAAACCTCCAGAGGAATAACCATATTAGTCTGCTGAAGAAAAATAAGGTAAAATGTACTTGCTATAAAATCCTTTTGCTATTGTCTATTCCTCTTAGAATTTGTGGATTTTTCAGGGTTTAGGCAGGGGAGAAGCAACTTCTTTATTTGAATATGTATCATCTTCTATTTCTTCATCAGGAAACCCTCCAATTACATTCTTCTATTGACTCTAAGCCTTTTCCAGTGGTTGTAACATTATAAACAGGAAGGTATTAATTCAATTGTTTTTAAAGTCATAAGGAAAAAATATATAGTTATCTGGGAATAATTCATGTATTAAAATTTGTATTTTAGTCCTTAGACTTATACTGCTAATCCACAGTTCTCTTCACAATTCAATACATGCAGTGTTTATTTGTTGACAGCATTAATAGACTGTCCTCTAAAAGAGTTCTCAGGAACGCTTACAAGAAGAATTTAAAATGCATTAAAGTTGGCAAAAGTATGAGGAAAATTGCAGCAGAGGGAGAGTATATCAGAGCCTGCAACAGTAAGATTTCTGTGTCCTTTATTTGAGATGCTATATCAAGACCTTTTTTTAAAAGTAAAAGCAAAGCTACCAAAAAGATGAGAAAAGAAGAAAAACTAGAAGCCACTGTATCCCTTGTACATCTACAGGAAGGAGCAATGTCTAGCTGGAAGGGCAAAGCAAAGCACCATAAGACAGTGGGAGCAACTGTTACTTCTTGTTCTTAGTGGATCTGCAGACCCTGTATCTAATTTACTCTCAGGCCATATTTACATGGAGGAAAAGAAACATTCCCATCCATTTCTTCACTTGTTTATATTACACAGAAGGCCAAAGCAGATGAAACACTGGTCCATATCACACTCCAGAGGGATTCTTCAGAGTAAAATGAGTCCTGCTTGCTTCAAATCATGGTGGAAACTCTAGAGAATTCCTGTGCATACGGACTGCATGCCTATGTGGGGACAGGGAAGGAGCATCGGTGGGTGGATAAGCCACAGACCTCTTCCCACCTGGAAAATTCAACTCCCCAACACATCACTTTCACTTTTCAAATTTGTGCAGTTCCTCCAGCACCATTCCTTTTGCAGATATATAAACTGATTGCACATGTGCACACAAACACAACAATACCATCAGTACACGGCACTGACATTTAATAGGATGGCTTTGCCACCAATGACTGTCATTCCCATGAGCTGAGGCAAGAGTGGGAGAAGGGTATCCTGGGCAGTATGCGGACAATGCTGCTAATATTGGCCCATTATATGTGTTGGTTGTGTGGACAACTCATCCTGCCCACAGATCTGGAAGCCCTGGTGGTAATCTGGGTTTTCTCATCAGTGCAGAAAAGCCCCACTCAGAGTTTCAGTGCATCTTTGGAGAGTGTCATCCATACACTGGAGCAAAGCAAGCGGTAACATTTGGTTTACACTCTGATGTATGACACTAGAGTCTGGGGAATTAATGATATTGTAATGAAAAAGATCAAGAAAACATAGCTTTAACAATTGGTCTGTAACTTTTCTTCCAACTAAACTTTTAAAAAGTATCTCTTTACTATATTCTTTCTCAAAATTAACCAACATAAATACTTAAAATACCTTTTTTAAAACCACATGAATGCTACAAGCTTCTGGCCTGTAATGCAAATCACACTGTTTTATGATCCCCTTTGTCAGTGCCTGAATGAGCACTCTACAATAGATCCTGAAGCAGCAACACAAGGTGCAGCATGAGTCCCTAACACTAGAAGCAAGAGATATTCCTCATCCTTCATTCAGTGAGAATACATCCCTGTAACCATAAAACAAACATAGACATTACCACACCACTAGAAAAGTTATCCCTTATTAGATGACAAATGGAATGGAATTGAGTTATATCTTTGTTATTTGGATAAAGGAATGTTGAAAATGCTTGTGTGTGTTAGAAAAGTGATGCAGCCAGCATTCAGCATGTAAGAAGGTTTAGTCAGAGCAAACTTTAAAATGTGCAACATGTTTTAGTTTATACTTGCCACTTGTTGTTTTTGTTGTTGTGTGCCTTCAAGTCATTTCCAACTTATGGTGACCCTAAGGTGAACCTATCATGGGATTTTCTTAAAAGGTAAAAGTAAAGATATAGACGTAACAGACTGTAGGGGGGCGGTGCTCATCTCCATTACTACATTATTATTAATTATTATTATTAATGCTCATCTCCATTACTACATTATTTGTCTCATAAGCCAAAGAGTCAGCATTGTCCAAGGACTACTCTGGTTTTCATGTGGCCAGCATGACTGCACCGAATTCTGTCACCTTCCCACCAAAGTGGTACCTATCTATCTACTTGCATTTGCCTTCTTTTAAACTACTATTCAGAGGGGGTTTTCTATTGCCTTTCCTCAGACTGAGAGCATATGACTTGCCTAAGGTTACCCAGTGGGTTTCCATGGCTGAGCCAGGAATCAAACCCCCTGGTCTCCAGAATTGTAGTCCAACACTCAAACCACTATGTCACACTGGCATAGCATGCTGTGCCAGTATGCCATATGGACTAAGCAATGAAAGACTTGGGATACCTTATGCAGTAGGACAAAAACAAGCAAGCCCTAAACTCTTTTAGCAGCATTTTGAGACATCTTCTCTCTCCCACTCCTCTTTTGGAGAAGGCTACAAACACTCATCCATCCAATTTCTTTAAGGAGAAAGAAGAAGACAGTTCATCTTACCTGGCAGATAAACCAATTGCCAATGAGAGTTTTCAAAGACAGCCTTTCACCTTCTTGAAATTTGTGGATTTCTCATAGGCAGGAAAGAGGCAACTTCCATATTTGAAAATCTATTTCCCTCTATCTCCTCTACAGGTGTTAAATAATTAGAGCTGGCAGAATTATGCACTGCAAATAATATTCATTGTGAATATAGCCCACCCTCCCCTGCTTTCTTTTGCTCACAAATAATTAATGAAGCCCATCTCAATTCTTGCAAATGTGTTTATTCTCATAAACATTCATCAAAGACTTTGGACAAAAACTTCATTATCTTGAGAAGTGCTGTGAATACTTTCCTTCAGATAATCCAGCTCATGTTTGGGCCCCAAGCAAATGGCTCTCTCACTTTGTAGCCTGTTGAGTTACAACTTGAACAAAAAGAGGGAAAGGAGATGCAGTGCTGAAGTAATTAGAGAATTTTCGTGCTCATGTAGATGTGCTTTCTCTAGCAATACTTGGGAGTAGAGATCAAAGAAGATATGAGAGTTGACAAAGCCTACCACAGCTAATGGAAGCACTTAGAGCTCTTTCACACCACACCATTATAGTGCTATATTCCACTTTAACTAACATGGAAGCATCCTATAATGTTTGTAGTTTGTGGAGGAACTAGATCTCTCTGACTGAGCTTTATGGCTAGAATTTAGAGAATGCTAAACATCCCTCCCTCAACTGCAACCCAGAGTTCCATAGGAAGTTGTCACGGCAGTTAAAGTGAAATTGTTGTTGTTGTTGTTGTTGTTGTGTGATTTCCAATCATTTCTGATTCATGGCAACCCTGAGATGAACCTATCATGGGCTTTTCTGGGACTGAGAGTGTGTGACTCACCCAAGATCACCCAATGGGTTTCCATGGCCAAGCAGGGAATTGAACACTGATCTCCAGAGTAATAGTGCCGTGCTCAAACCGCTACACCACACTGGCTCTCTAAAGTGAAATATAGCACGATAACTGAGTAGCAGGGGAGTCCAACCATCCCCCATGACAAGAAGCTGTGACAGGATCCCACAGGGGACCTGCTGCAACTGCCTGTTGCAAAACACCTTAGTGCCAGGAGAGGTCTGAGTGCTTCCTCATAGACAGTCCCAACCCTTGGAAATCCTTGTATTGGTGCAGCAGCCTTGTTTCTAAGATGAGTTTTCACATCAGGAAGCATAGCTATGGTGATGGAGCTCCATCATCATAGCTATGTCTCCCAATGCAGGACCTCCACCCTCATCTTTATGCCCATCAGATACAATGGCTGTGCCTACCTAGCAGAATTAATGCAGTTTGACACTACTTTAACTATAATTTTCTTTTCATGTCATGTTGAGTATTTATACCCAGCTCTTCTGCCACAAAGGGTCTCAGGGCAGCTTACAAACTGTTAATTAGACATGGACTCATATGCTATGAAATTGTGGGATTTGTAGCTTTGTGAGACATTTAACCTTCTCTGTCAGAGAGCTCTGGTGCTACAACAAACTACAAATCCCAGGATGGAGCCATGATAGTTAAGGCGGTGTCAAGCTGCATTAATTCTGCAGTGTGGCAGCAGCCAATGCCATCTTCTTCATGCATGGAATAGCTATATCTATAGAATTTAAATTCAGTTCCTTTAAAAAAATAGAACTTATCAAATAGGGAATAAAAGAGCCTGAAGTTTCAAAAATCCAAATTTAAGAGAAAGCAAAACTGTCAGATTTCACTATCTTTGCAATATATCTGAACACACTGTAAAGATGATTAGCACCTATAGCCACATGCACATTGTTATTATTGCAAAACCTCAGATTCCCTATGATTTTGCTGAAGGAAAGATATACGGCTTTCAGACGGCAATAGTTACTTTATTATCTTCACTTACCAGAAGCTATATTCTGATTCTTCATTTTGGAAATTTTATCTCATTGTGGAATGTGACTGAGCTATGGATGATTTCAAGGAATCTAAACAATTTTTTTTTCTTAAAATTGTCAGTGCTGGGGGAACAGAATTGAAATGATGCACTAGAAAGGATGACGTTTTTGGGAGTGGGAACACTTGTACGGCTACAGTGATTCATTATCAGGCAAAGTTCTGAATTTTTAGCTCTATTATGAATTGCAGTATATTACAGGATACAATATAATTCAACTGCTGGAATTAAGACAATAGACTACTAAAATTATAAAAATTTTAAAAGAATTACATTACCTGTATAGAATGCTCACTTCCAAACTAAGGTGCTGACAAACATTTACTTTCCATACCAAGCTAGCTATGCATTAAGATCTTCAAATAAGGTACTTCTATGAGTGGTGTCACAAGTGCACTGTATGTGTATAAAGGAAAGGATCTTTATCATGTTTGCCTGCTCCCTCAAACTAAGAAAGGTCAATTGAGGTCAACAGAACAGACTTTGGGGTTATCAAAGCAACACATTTACTTGTCCTGACACATAAAACTAGTTGTTGTTGCTGTTGTTTTATTCTCCTCATTTGTTGCCTTTCAGTTTTAGTATACTTAGGAAATTTGCTTTTCTTGTTTGGTTATTTTTAAGTATTGGGTTTGTTATTATAAACTTCTGTGTCTTGTATATTAATCTAGAATTCATCTGAATGAAATGCAGTCCATAAATAAATAAATAAATAAATTGGGTGTTTAATGATACATTTTACATGGATTTCTATCCATCACCACCCACATTTGATGAGTGCATCAGCACAGAGACCTATTTGCATCTTTGTAAAACAGTGTTCACACAGATTCCAGATGATTTGTAGAAATAAGGTTTGCACCATACTATATCTGATACTACAGACTTGCAGACAAGGTAATCTGATCCATGGTACATGGACTCTAATTTGACAGGATGCTGTCCATGACAGTCCCAAACTTAATATTACATACAAAAATTCCTTATCTGAAGATGGAGGTATGCTAGGTTCTTACGATTAGATCTTAGAACAGTTACTTTTTAGATTAAACTTCTCACCATCCTCTGGTCAGCCTTTACTCTGCCCAAGTGCTGCTGAATTTGAGATGTGAAGAGCAAACAAGAAACTTTTTCAAGCTCAAGATTGAGGGAAGTAGTACAGTGAACCCTTGGTATCCACTAGGGTTTGGTTCCAAGACCATGAATACCAAAATCCATGGATGTTCAAGTCCCATTAAATACAATGGATAGTAAAATAGTTTCCTTTATATAAACTGACAAAATCAAGGTTTGCTTTTTGGAATTTATTTTTTTTTAAATATATTGTCAAGCCTGAATATTGTCATGCTTGAATCCATGGATAAAGAATCCATGGATATGGAGTGGCTGACTATATTGCCACTCTATTCTGCTTTGGTCAAACCTCACCTGAAATACTGTGTCCAGTGCTGGCCACCACAATTCAAGAAGAATGTTGACAAGCTAGAATGTGTCCAGAGGTGAATAACAAAAATGATAAAAGATCTGGAAACCATGCCCCACGAGGAGCACGTTAGGGAGCTGTGTATGTTTAGCCTGGAGAAGAGAGGGTTAAGAGGTGACATGATAGCTACATTTAAATATTTGAAATGGTATCATATTGAGGATGGAGCAAGCTTGTTTTCTGCTGCTCCAGAAACTAGGACACAGAGCAATGGATTCAAGCTACAGGAAACAGACTTAACCTAAGCATTAGGATGAATGTTCTAATGGTAAGAGCTGCTTGACAGTGGACTATGGTGCCTTAGAGTGTGGTGGAGTCTCCTTTTTTTTTAAAGTTTTTAAACTGAGGCTGGATGGCCATTTGTTGGGAGTGCTTTGATTATGACTTTCTGCATGTCAGGGGGTTGGACTGGATGACCTCTTCCAATTCTATGATTTGATTCTCCGCTTTAAAAACCATAGCAGATCAATAGTCAGTAGTCAACTTCTTGTGAGCACTTTTCTCCCCTATGTATATTATTTGTAGCAGTACCGTAGTTATTTACATTCTGAAAAAGCCATTATCAGTCAACACCCATTTCAGTTTTTTGTGACAATTGCATTCCCAATCTGCTTTCAAGATTCATTTTCTTCCATTTTGAGCTTGTAGCCATTTCTTTAAAAACATTTTTGGTGTGACAGATTATGTACTTTCTTAAATCAACAGGTTGTTTCTTCTTGCAACGTCCCAGGAATTGTAATTCTTCCTTCCTCATGAATTTCTTTGGCCTCACAGGAGTTCAATCAGATTCGTCTGAAAAAGAAAACAGAAGAATAAAAGAGTTACTGATAGACAAATATCAGAGAAGGGGGTGACTAGAAGCTGTCCTTCCAACTTTTCCCTACATTTAACAAAAAAAAAACTTTCTCTGAATAACTGGGAACCACAAAATTGGGAAGGAGGAGTTTCTGGCTCAAGAAGAAGGGGGGATTGCTGAAAGTTGGATGGGGAAATCACTTGTAATAAGCTACCTCCATCTGAGTTTCTCCACTTTACTCCTTATCCCCCAAAACAACAGCATCCCATTTAGCATAATCATCCAAATGTGTTTGAAGGCCTTGTGGATAATGGGATGATGGTTGACCTTCAAATTACATATGCATCAGGATTCTAGACAAAGCCTGATTGATTTGAAATAGAATTATGAATGGCATTTTTATTTCTAGACTGCACTGGAATATTTTCAGGACTAATTTGTCATAACTCACCCCTTAGATGATTCAGATGAAGAAGAGGAGGAAGCAGCTTGCTGGAAACCTGCTGCTCCTGACAATGAAGGTCTCTCTGAGTCCTAGGAGCCCAGGTCTGAGGAAGTATATAATATTCCCCTGCCCCCCAAAAAAACCTTCTACCTCCTTCCTTCTTATCTCCAATCTAAGATTTTCTATAGAAAATATGCTTTTTAAAAATCAGACTCTTCCTAAGTTCTTACACCTGAACAAAGCTTCTAATAAGCTCCAACTTGAATTGCTACTTTCAGGAACTTAGCCTGCACTGAAACTACCAAGATTATCCAACATTCCCTACTTCTGTTTGAACCTTGCCAATATTCGATGCACATTCCAGCTTCAACTATCTTCATAAATCCTAACACGCATGCTAAAGGTTTGGAACAAAATTATCAGAGCAATTAAATGAGGATCTATTTGGCCTTAGAAAAACAATGAGGAACAGTGGCAGACCAAAAGGGTGCAAATGATAAGAGGGTATAATGATGGCTCCTCACTCCCCTGCTTCCTTACTGAGTTGCCAGAAAAAAAGAGGAGGGATGGGCTGCATAGAACACAAACTGAGCAGCAGACGCATCCAACTTCCATCAACTGCAGCCAATTTTTCCTCCACCCTCTCTCCCTTGGAACTTCCTTGGGTAAGGCAGAAAAGAAGAGAGGAGACAGGGTGGGGTAATGGTATCCTCAAAAAGTAGCTCCTTTTTAAAATGTCTGTTTGGTCACACGAGAACTCTACAATATAACCTTGGAGAACCTGTGACTCTGTGCAGTGTAAGAAAAAAGAGAAAGGGAGAAAAAACGGACAAAGGTGGAAAAGAGTGCAGTAACAGTCCAGTGGTGCTAATGAAGGGGTGTGTGGTAAGGAATGCGCCTAAACTGGTATATACGCATCTCCTGTCATTAATGAAAAAACAGAATCTAGCAGACCCTTTAAAACTATGGACTTTATCACATGTGGCGTTAAAAAGTTGGATAATAGCACATTTGGCAACACCTGATGCACAATGTGCTCTCTCTCTCTCGCTGCCTTGTCCTGGAATTGTGGTTGGTGCACACCTTGCCACTGGCAGAGAAACCCATCAATAAGTTCCCAATCACACTGGTATAGCACTAGTTCTAAGGTGCAGTAAATTATACTCCTATGGCAGTTCCAGGATTGCACAATCGTGTGGTGTCAGTGTTTACTCTCCACTCTACCTGCTGTGCTTCACTATTCCAAAATAGCCTTATTTTCTATTTTATTTTATTTTTGTTTCTTCTTCTTTTTTGTAAT